CCATAAATTATCACTATAAAAAGTAACAAAATGCATATCAAAGTCAGGAATTAATGCAATGAGGGCAATGTTCTTGAGACTGTAGACATTTTCAAGCAGATAAAAGTGGCACCTCCAAATATTAGCCCCATTAAAATAGTTGAATCTGCTAGTAAGCCTGCAATCTAAATGCTTAACAGCGAACGAATTGTAAAGTTGATGAAGTAGTAAATGTTAATTGCTTAGAGGATGCAAAGTCCAACAGCCTCATATTTCAATTTGATTCGAAATACTCATTCCCTGAATAAAATTAGCTTTTGTGCAAAATTCCAAATCGCCTGAAGTACTTTAAATTATCATAAACGGCAAGCATCAAGACCGTTCCTTAGCAAGCCATCAAGAGATTGTTTGACTTTTAAAAGCTAATTCTTATTATATCTTTTTCTGAAGTTAATTTTAACGAAAGTACCAATAGGATAATTGCTAACAAAAATGCTCCAAATAAGGTGATACCAGCCAATATTGCCTTGATATAATTAATCAGAGTCGCCGATTATTATCTTCGGTTTTTAACTTTGCTTTTTTAATTTTCCTCATCAGTGATCATTTTAGCCAATCTTGCTTTTTTTCATTGAATTGGATTATCCACTAGGTATCCTTTTTAAAGAAATTTTCATTCAGCTGAAGACAGGCATCTTCGGTATGATTTGGAGTTTCACTCTCTTGAATTAGCAGTTTCTCTCGCATTGAAACTCATTTGTCATCAAACTTGATTCTTAAGTCATCTAATTATTCTACATTGATATCTGGGTATTTCCTGCTGCTATATATATCAGGTCTAGTATTTGAGTGATCTTCATTTTCTTGATTTTACAAACCGTGCTAATACTCCTATAAATTGATATTAGTAAGAGAGCATTGAATGGATTATTAAGATTACAGTTGAGCTATAGTCATTCATTTTCTGGATTCTTTTTTCTATTTAATTAATTTAATTAAATATTTGACTTGAAGTCGAAAGCTTTTAATATTCACACTTATTAATCAATTATTTTAATAGAAAAAGAGTGAATTTCATTTGAAAATATATAATCAAGTTTAATTTTTAATAAAATTCATCTCAGAGGGGTTTTGGGGTTTTGGGGTTTTGGGG